ACAGCATTTATTAAACTGACAGATTCCTGTTAGGAGTAGGAATAGCAAACTGCCATTATGGCAAATATAGCGGACTTCAATGCATTAATAGTATTCATTGTGTGACTTAGCTCAGTCCCTGATAGTGTTAACGGATACTCCATCCTAGTCTGAGCAGCAGGATTTTCATGGGAAAGAAAGAAGATTTAAGAATTTAAATTATAAAAACAAACGGCAAAGGGCCAAATGAAGGAACGTGGCGTGATATTTCCCAGATACGTGCCTGTGTTTAACAGGAGACTGGTTACCTTTGTCAGGACGGTAAACAAACATGGCAGGTGTCATCTACCCACAAAACTCTTGTGAGCTGCTACAGTGCAAACAATCATTGGAAGTCCTTTTTTTTTTTTTTTAATATGTAAAGGGAAAGCCTTTAAACTTTGCTTATCTGGGAGAATGGCAATTAGTAGTGTAGCTTGTTATTTCAGAAGTCACTGCAAACTGCTGATAGTTGTATACGTTTATAATTAACAATCTCAAATATTTCCTGCTACCTTTTTACTTTATAGCATGCTATTTATTAAAACGACAAGGAAAAAGAGTCTCATTTTTCATTGTGGTTTATTTTGTTACATGCTTTCTCCCCCTTTCAGATTTTTGCTACAGAGGGCACAAAGCTTGCTTCAGCTCTTCATGCCTTTTCTGATCAGGTGATGTATGACCTCTAAAATAGCCATTCAGCTTGTGACACTAGTCGTACTGCTTAAAAGCTGGGCCATTAACTTAATATGGGAGTCTTTAACACAGAGTGGTTTTGTCTTCCTGAAACCACTTTTCAGGTACAGGATGATGACAAACCTTTGCTTCTGTTGGAGGCTGAAAAACTGATCTCTATGTGCAAGCAGCTCCAGATAACAGCTAAAGCTTCTGTTCAGGGTAAAAGTGCTACATTTACAAAGGTAAGGTAAAAATTATATATATTCCTGAAAGTAAGACCTAACTTGTTTTGAAATATAGTAACTTACTAATTTATGCTCCTGTTAAAATATGAAACAGTTCATGACAGCTGAAATTCTTGAATTTACAGAGGACCATAAAAATTAATAAGTACAAAATTTTATGCTGTTGTGCAAGCATTTTTCTATGCAATACGTCATTGTTGCTTTCCTTGTGTAGAAGAGGAATTTACTTCAACTTGAAGTACTGTTTTGCGCTTAATACGTTTTGAGAAGCTGATGTGCGAAGTACAGAGGAAGAACAGTAAGAACCGTTCCCCTTGCTGAAAATGTTTGATCTATTGGGACATCCCTCACCGATAACTGTAATGCAAGCCATTTACCGCACTGTCTTGTCTCAGGAAGGGATTTTCTTCAGCATTGGTGCTACTGTTTGGGTTTTTTTTTTCTTTTCCCTGCTACCAGAGAAGGGCTTCAGTGAAGTTTATCCTGACCTGAGCCCCCCATTCATGCTGAGAGTTTGATAGGAGGCAAAATACGATACACTGGCACCCAGCATACATGGGTGTATTATACATACATCCTGCCAGTGGAGAGCTTGAATAGTATTACTCTACAGGCTTATATGAATGTTTTCTTTAGGGAGCATGGATATCCAAGTTTTGTATAACTGGCCCACTGGCCACAGACATATCATTGATATTAATGTTTTAAGGAACAGTTTCCCTACCCCTAGCATATCAACTTTAGAGTCTAAGAATCAGTAGAATAACTAATAGGATTTTTTTCCTTCCTATTACTGAAAGTACTGAAATTATCATTTGGGTTTTGGATTTTACTGTTAGTGAAAGAGTTTACAGAAATGTTTCCCAAGACAATGATGTGCCTGGACTGCTCTTAAAAAAAAAAAAAGGTGGAAAGGTGTCCATAGGCTTCCACTACTTTATATTGCTTTTTACTGCTGAGAACTTTTTTCAAAGAACTTCTGTCAACATCTCCCTCAACTTACCCACTAGATATAGAAAGGTACTGGAACTTTTATCATGCTGCAACTGATAATTTTCAGCTGAATAACATGAGGTGGAATAATACTGTATACAATAATACTGTAATCCATTAGATTACAGTAATCCACTAGAACTTCATTCAGAGAAATATGAACTGTAATTAAGCAGACCTCACTAAGAAAGGACTTCAGTGATCAAAGTATTAATGAAGGTAATTTATATTTCCACCACTGTAATAATTATTGTTATTCTGTTGTTACTGATGCTTAACATAAACGTAACAAATTCCAAACCCCAAAGACTATTACTGAAATATGTACTTGCTTCTCAGTAGGTAGGTAGCCTACCCTAGACTGCCCAGAGTTTATTCTGATATTATTTGTATTTGTTATAAGTAAATACATATACAGCTGCCATAAAAATTTCAGCATTGTTACCACAAGAAGTAGATCCGCAAACCTTAGCGGGGAATGGAGGCCCGGCTTTTTGAAGAACTTCAAGTATCCCTGAGCAGCGATATGATCAATGTGAGCAAGACCATTTCTGTGCACCTGGCTGTTTGTTTCCAATGAGCTACGGAAAAGATGTTTCAATTTTACAGCAAGGACTGAAAGTGGCTAGAGCATCCAAGTCACTCAAAACCAAACTGAGCACCTCAGCGCTACTGATTAGTTTGTTTTACACTCTCTAGCTAAACGAAATGGGAACTCCAGTCTGTTTTATAGAGTGTATCAGTACATAGTGATAATAGGCTATCAAATTAATGTTTGTCGAGGGCCCAGACTTATGACCTGTGCCGAGTGGTAGACTTGAGGCATAAACTCAAATGCTTTATGATTTAGCTAACTTTTAGTGTAACTCATATCAAGGTAAGTCTTACATGATGCACGGCTTTCTAAATCATGCTGACAGGACATAAAACAAAAGGAAAAACATGAAGACTTGTGATGAATCATATGTGGATGGTAAAAGCTCCTTTCCAAGACACTTATAGTAATATAATATTAAACAGTAATTTTAGTTCCTTCTCCTGGAATGTGTGTCATTCCCTTCTGCTTCCTAGCTCAAGTCTTGGGTTAACAGAAGGGATGCTGTTGCTTTACATGTACTTTATAAAGAAATTCAAAAAAGGTAGGCTAAACCTTTTGATTAGAAGGGATTTATGAAGGACAAATATTACCTATTCAAGCTTGAAATAGATTATCGTCTCATGCATTAAACAATTGCCTAATAAAAGTAATGAGTGGTCTTACTCTGCTCTTAATTGTCTTCTTTAGGTTGATGCATGCATTCTGAAAACAAGGAATGTGATGACTCTGTTATGCCAGCTTCTTCCACTTTGCTGCAAATTACTGAGAAAGGTGAGTACTTGGTTCATCTGCAGTATTTTAAAGTTTTTTGGTTGTTTTTTTGGGGGGTGGGGGGTTTGCTCATTTGGGTTTAAGAATTTTTTTTTTTTTTTTTTTAATATTTAAAAAAAATGCCAGCTTCTTCCACTTTGCTGCAAATTACTGAGAAAGGTGAGTACTTGGTTCATCTGCAGTATTTTAAAGTTTTTTGGTTGTTTTTTTGGGGGGTGGGGGGTTTGCTCATTTGGGTTTAAAAATTTTTTTTTTTTTTTTTTTAAATATCTAGAATAAAGCAGGAAATGGCTGTCTTAAACCTGCTCCGCCCTGGAGAGAGGACAGAATACGAACTGGTACAAATACACATACTCCAGAAAGGAGAGCTGAGACATTTGGCATCAAGTCTTTAGAAAATCATGTAACAAACATGACGTTTTTAGAGAGCAAGTAATTATAGCACTTAGAAATGCAGGAACTCCCATTTGAAAATAACACTTGCTGAATTTTCAATATTGCTTTCATTTGTGGAAAGTCAAACCAGGTTAATTTGAATTAAAACTGTTGACCTCTGTCACATCTAATAGATGTCCCATTACTTAGCCATTACAACACCAGCTAGTCTAATAGTTACGTATTTTTAAAATGTGAATGCCTTTCCTATGCTCACTATTGATACCGGTTTTGTAATTAATGCTTATGAATGTCTTAATGGATATTTCAACCCAAAGATGCTGCTAATGGACATATTATATAAAGAACCTTGTGCTGCATATGCTATATGTAACACTACTGTTGAAGTCTGTAAACTCATCTCTGGCCTGTTTCAGTCTACGGATTTGATAAAGCAGAATCAGGAATATAGTCTGAAAGGCTGCGGCCTAAAGCACTGAAATGTTATCTTAGTTATGAGTTATACCTGCAATTAAGTAGCTCTAGGAAAAAAACCACAAAACTCTTTCCAGAGCTGCACCCACTGAATTTTAATCTTGTTGACACGATTCATGTTTCCAAAAGTGTATTTCTATGTGATTAATACTTGTCTCAAACCCTTTTTCTTTTACCATCTTTATTTGTAGATGGCAGTTGTTGCTTCCTTTTTTATTAAAACTTACTGAGCAGAATTTGAATTGCATTTAGAACCACTGAAGTATTATGTAGACTTTATATTATACCATTTAAAATTTAAGAAAATAGATACTGATTAGGACAAACTTCTGTACAAAGGGCATTATTTGACTTCAGGATGCCATGAAAATACAACCTGGTGTGAAATACATATTTTCAAGTTTATCTGCTCTTTGTACATAGGCTTCTGTTGCATTCTTATTTTCAATTCACCTTTGTCGAACTCCATATTGCCTTAGTTTAGCTAAATTAAGTGATAGCTAAATCAAGTGATAGCTAAATTGTACGATTTTTCTGTATGTATTATGCTTGCACTGAGCAGAAGCAAAGCTGCCTGTGGAACATAAATACTCTCCAACATATTATTCTGTGCATATTGAAAAACTTGTAGTGGTGGAATTCAGAGAAAAAGAGAAAGCCAATTTTAATATACAAACTATTTGAACTGGTTTATTCTTGTACGAATCAAGCGTTTAAGTTCCACTATTAAAAACAGGCACTAGGCCTTTCAATACCACGAAAGTCACAGTGTACAATAAAAGCAGCTTATTTAGTATCAAATACAGATGATAACTGTATAATTAATTTCATGAAGAAGAATTAAGACGTTTCAACAAAACTTCCTCGTATTCCTTCTGCGTCAGAAGTCCTTGAGTTATGCTCTTGCTTTCTTCAAATTTGGGTAGAACCACTGCGATGTATCCCTCGGTTGATGGCTAAAAAGCAAGACTGAAGTTAGCAGTGAAATAAAAGTTAGAAAATAAAAAGTAAGAAAGTGTCTTACCTTTTCTTGCAGAATAGCGGGATTGCTAAGAATGTTTTCATTCACTTCTATCAGTCGCCCTCGTATACAGCTGCAAAAGTGTTTAGAGTCAGAAGAAGTGCATGGTATGTCAAAGTAAGAAGAAGGGAAAAACCTTACCTATAAATGGTGTATTCCTCTCCATCCGATGAAGATATCCTGCACAAAGGGGCAAGTTCTGTTAAAAACTGAGCTCCCTGCATTTGAAAAATAAACAAACATACATACACTTTTAATTACACAGGGCTTTTTAAAGTATTACCATCAGCAACGTAAGTTTGTAAACTGCTCAGAACAAAGCAAGGAAGTGTAATAGTTACAGGTTGTTGCAAGTTACGTAGCTGTGCTTCCCTACAGAAGGGAAGATGCCAGCTTCGTTATTTGATTTGTGCACATAGAAGCTTGTTAAGAGCTTACACATTTAGTCATAATTAAGTTTCTTGTGGAATAAACAGACTTGTAGTTTGATCAGATTAAAATCAGGGGAGAGAGGAGAAAAACAGCACCGCTGATTTCAGTATAACCAGGTTAAACTACACATACTTGAAAACCCACCACAAAACACACTGAACTAGCCCATCTGCTATCTAGGTCTGTTTGAGAAGCACGGTAGTCTCCAAATCCTCGGCATTTTGGTGGAAACAAATTTTTATCTTTTCGGGGATGCTGAAGTCCTCTGTCCGCTATGGAAAAAAATGACTAAAAGCGACTGTTAGCCCTGGTTTGAGCAACACTGGAAACCACCGGTGCTGCAGCAGCACTGTAGGGCCCTGGCTGGGACAGTCAGACAGGCGCCTCTTGAGAGAGTCTAAATTCTTCAGCTGTGGAGGGGCTGTTTTTAAAACAAAATGCAAAGGTAACCTGGTAAGTTTCTATCCTGGGAAGGACAGAAAGTCTTAGGCAGTGTGAGAGATGAACGTGCAAACTAAGCAAATCAAAAAGGCATACCCTTTTTGACTTCCCAGAGACCTTATTCTGGAGTCTGCTACAGTTGGCACTGATTTGGTAATTAATGCTTTTAATTGTTTTTCCACTTTGAAGAAGGGGATGGGCTTCCGCCAAGGTGATGACGCAGATTCTGCAAAAAGAAATACAATTACTACGCTGTAGTTGTGAGAAGCCGTGCTCTAAGCAAGCTCCACAACCTTCTCCGCCTGTACTGGTAGGATTTAAAACCGATACCGACTGCTTCGTTTGGGCTCCTAGCCCAAACGCTAGCAAGTCTTTCCGTGTTGTGAAAGCTGTTGTTTACTTTCACTCTGGAAAGCACAATATCCTTCCCCCTATAGCTGAGCAGGAACGTTAAGCTGATGATGGTTCAGCTCACTGCAGCAGGAGTCACCGGACAGGCACCTACCAGGCGCGGGGAGGAAGCAAGGACAGGCGGGCCTGGGTGAGAGCACGGGGGCGGAGGGGGAACCTACAACGCGATTTACCTCAGCTCGCGAAGGAGACCGGAGGATAATTGTCAGCTGCAGAGCAGAGACAAATTGTAGTTTCCCACTTACTTACAAAAACGTCAGCTACAGGATCGAATCGGACTCACTTTCATCAGGGCATCTTACTTGATGCCTGCTGTACCAAACCGAATGAAAATTGCATTCTGACCTAAAGCAACCCCCACAGAAGCTGCTTGATTTTGAGATACTAGACCGGATCATCAAGAGCACTACACTTCTTAGTTAAACAGAACCACAGCTTTTAAACAAGCTAGAGCTGTTCTATCTGTTGTCGTACCCCACGGGAGCACACTTGGTTCACTTGTCTGCTGATAGCTGAGGTAGATGATACTCGCTCACGAC